CCCAACTAATGGGTTAAAAATTTAGGTAACACTTCAGTTTAAATAACAATTCATACCATTTACTACTGGCTTAATACAACCTGTTATTAAGATATAAACTGTTTATTAGCACAAGCACGTTTCTATTCTACATTAATAAACTTACCTAATACTAAACCCAACAGCTACCTTAATGACTATTAATAAAGCAGCAATTTAGTAGTTTATTTATCTAAAACTCTTAAAATTGTACATTAAAATAAAGTGTAACCAAAGTTTTGTTTAAAATATTAACCCAGTGGTTTAGTTTGTTTACAATTTTACCCAAAATTCAGTTGAAACCACCTAGTATTTTTTTGTATTATACCTTTTCACCCAAGGTGAAACTCCCAACTCCTCCACATCAAGGACATAATAACCTCACTGATGTACCAGTTCAACGAGAAAAACCCTCCCACAATGCTTTGCATCGTCGTCAGGTGTGCGTCTAGCACGCATCCACATCAGGTTGAAGGCCACGTTACCAATTTCTCTCTTTTCAGACGCCGGCTTTCTTGTGCTTTCCACTTTCAAGTTTCCTGTGAACTTCACATCAAACGGCCGAAGCCCTGTGCTCTGGCTTTGAAGTGCTGGCGAGAGCTGAGCCCTGCGATCCCCTTGCGCTGGCGCTGGTAAAAAAGCTGCAATGCTAAAAAAGTCAAAGACCGCAGGGAACGGACAGTGAACTCAACCCACTCCACCCTCCCTGCGCGCAGAATGGAGCCTGCGAGTCTTTGAAACACACTCCACTCTTGATAATGATGTTTCAGTGCTGCTGTCAGCCCTGAGTGGAGGTGTCGGGATTTGAGCCTTTCAAGGTTTCGCTTAGCCAGAATCATAACCGTAGAAAAGAGCGCGGAGGCTTGTTCATGCTTGGGAATGGAAAATATATCTTATGAAAAGGTAATGGTGGCCCCCTTTTTCACACTATTCTAACTTTCTTTCTTGTGATTGTGCTCAGTAGTTTGCAATTCAGAATTATAAACAACCTGATCTCATAAGGAAATGTAACTCATTCATTCATTTCGGCTTAGTTCCTGATTATCAGGGGTTGCCACAGCAGAATGAACCGCCAACTATTCCAGCATGTGTTTTGCACAGCAGCGGATGCCCTTCTAGCCGCAACCCAGTACTGGGAAACACCCACACACACTCACATTCACACACACACACACACACACACACACACAAACATAGACTATGGCCAATTTAGTACATCCAATTCGCCTATATGCCTTTAGACTATGGGGGAAACTGGAGCACCCGGAGGAAACCCACGCAAACACGAGAAGAACATGCAAATTCCACACAAAAATGCTTACTGTTCCAGCAGGGACTCGAACCAGGGGCCTTCTTACTGTGTGGTGACAGTGCTAACCACTGAGCCACCATACCGCCTGGAAATGTAACTATTTCATGCTTTTTTTTTCTTCAGTTTACTTGCTAATTCATACAAATTCATATAAATCATATGAAAATGTAAGATTTTTTTAAAGCAGGCGTGGCACCAAACCCCACCCCTAAACCCAACTTTCATTGGTGGATGAGTAAATCCTACTAAAATGTAGGAATGATATCGTAGAAATTCATAAAAATTAGCTTGTAAATGAAAACATTACGAATTGGCCTAAGAGGTGTTTTATAAACTTGCAATTCTGTCAAATAAAAAAGGGAAATTAATGTAAAAAAGTATATAAACTTGGAATTGTGAGAAAGTACAAAACCAAGCATAAAAACCATACTTGTGGAGCTTTAGATTTATAATTGAGATGTGTAAACCCAGAATTACAAACTTTGAAATTGTGAGATTTAAACTTGAAATTGCTAGATGAATATTTGGAATAACGAAACGTAAACTCAGAATTGCGTAAAACAAGCTTGATTTGCAAGATGTGAACTTGGAATGGCAAGATACACTCAGAATAACAAAATGTAAACTTGGAATTCAGAGGTGTCCTATTAACCTTGCAACTGAATGCCAGAAATGATGGAAAATCAAAGAAAACATAAATAAATTACAATTAGCATGAAATTGTTACAAAGGAAAAAGTCAAAATTGTGAGATGTAAACTCAGAATACGTCAGATTTACACAGATTTTTGGCCCATCATTGAGTCTATTTATTTACTTGTGTAAATGTGTATAAACTTTTGTTTATTCAGTTTTTAAATTAATTTCAGTAATAATATTGACTAATATTAAAATGTTATTTTGATTTATTTACAATACAGTGTGTAAAGTAATATTTTCTAACTTTTAGGAGAGAGACTTGCTTTGTTTACCAAATAAGTAGATCAAGATGGATTTGCTTTGTAAACATTAAAGTTAAAAAAGCTATTATTTTTTCATTTCATAAATTTAAGTTTTTACTTGTGATACTCCCAAAATAATTTTGCAGATTTTTTACAAAATTCTCTGCAGAAGTAGAAAAAAATGTTCACAGATTTTGTCATGCCCTAGTTAGTATGTTTTAATTTTCGAACAAAAATGATGTTCCAGGATCAATAGATGTTAATCCAAGATTGCGTCATACTTGCCAAAATCATCACATGCTATAAAAATTAATTCTTTCAAATAAGTGTAGTGTGATCGGCCTTTAAATGACATAAACTAGCACACTGATCACACTATTTAAACTTTGTAAAGCTTAAAGCAAAGTTAATAAACCAAAAAAAGTCTTAAAACATGTTTAGCAAATAAAAAATGTGCTCTATTGGATTGAGCTCTGGTGACTGTGGAGGCCATTTGAGTACAGTGAACTCATCCACCTATTTGTATGCGCATAAAAAAACGGCTGATGGAAATGGCATGAATTTTGAAAGTGCGCATAAAAAAATTATGTGCATAACAGTAGGATAAACTTTTTATTCAATAAGAAAAGATGCGCATTAACTACGATGGAAACACTGTTACCGCACAAATTTCAGTATGCGCATTATAAAGGTCATGTAATTTTGTGCTAAGAGATCATGTGATGATGAAAATGTGTATAAATGGACAAACCAGCAGACTGAGCACATTGTAAAACATCTGAAATGTTGTTTTGGTCATTCTAAAACACCTTACCATTCAAGTATTATCGTTATTATATTATTAATGACCACCAGAATCAAGAGTGTCTGTGCTTCACGTCTAACACCTTCAAACACCACCGCGCGTTCAGGATCGCCTTCTGAGGTGCAAGTCATTTATTAAATAAAGAAAAGATTTACGCAGCTTCTTCTACTGCAGCAAATTCCGTTTTTACGGTTAATAATTGGCGCCAGTTAATTAGGATGTGACGATTTTGTTCGCTTTGACTCATTGGATGGTACCTCAGCTTTATTTGCACGTCTTTTATTCGATAATCCAGTTTTGCGCATAAAGTTAATTCACATTTTTGGATGGAAACAACTACTGTCATGTTCAAGAACCCAGTCTGAGAGTATTCACGCTTCATGACATGGTGTGTTATCCTGCTGGAAGTAGCCATCAGAAGATTGGAACACTGTGGTCATAAAGGGATGGACATGGTCAGCAACAATACTCAGGTAGGCTGCGGCACTGACACGATGCTCAATTAATACCAATTAATACCCCACACCATTACACTACCACCACCAGCCTGAACTGTTAATACAAGGCAGGATGGATCCATTCTTTCATGTTGTTGCATCAAATTTTGACTCTACCATACGAATGTCACAGCAGAAATTGAGACTCATCAGACCAGGAAACGTTTTTTCAATCTTCTATTGTTCGATTTTGGAGAGCCTGTGCAAATTGTAGCCTCAGTTTCCTGTTCTTGACCATGTCTACATGCCTAAATGCATTGAGTTGCTGCCATGTGATTGGCTGGTTAGTGGTTACTTAACGTTAACGAGCAGTTGGACAGGTGTACCTAATAAAGTGTAAATCGTTGGCTGCGTCCGGAACCGCCTACTACTCAGTAGATACTGCATTTGAATTTAAACATACTACTCGGCCGTTAGAGAAGTATGTTCTTTACAGTATGAACGTGAAATGTATGAATGGAATTCGGACATTCTACATCCGCCATTTTGTCATGATCATGTGACCTACCTGCGTCAGTTGCGTCGCCTCACTTCCATTCATGAATTCTCTCACGGGGCATTATGGGATAGTGCAGCGTGCATGGGATGCGCACTTCAGAATCTCGCCGGAAGTAGTACGTCATCCGGGTACTTCTCGCCTACTGATTTTCGAATTCTATGAATTCGGACATACTACTCGGCTCGCATACTGGTTTTAGCGTACTATATAGTATGGAAATATGCGGTTTCGGATGCAGCCATAGCATTAGATTTGTTGCATAGCTAATGTCCTGTAATGCTTTACCTTGTCAAATGTGCAAAAGTTTTAAATATTTAGGCAAGTAGCCTAGTAGGCCAATTCACAACATGTTTAATAAGTTGTTTACAAGTAAGTTCCTGCATTACTTCATGTAAAGACATCGATGGTTTCTATTTCAGCTTTGTTTTTGTTGTTCGCTGTTATATCGTATTGGGGTGCGCGCGGGCCGGGGGTTTAATGACGTCACCCTCTGGGGGAGCATTGTAGACGTGACAGGAGTGCGCGGAGGGCGGACACTAGGACCCGGGGACGCCGAAGTGTTTTTATCTCCTCATCCATTACATTCCCCTCATTTATTCAGTAGATCCACTGAGCGCAGCACAGCACAATAACTCACACAACAGTTTCATTTCCAACCATATTCACTGCACGGGGACGAAATGGTGAGGAGCGAGAGGCAGCAGACAGAAGTGAAGGCCGAAGACTTGTTCCTGGAGTCCGAGACCTCTTTAGATCAGCAAGATTTTGAGATGTCTACTTGTCCTTTCAATGACGTCTTCAACTCCACAGACTCTTCCATGATAAACACTTTCCTGAAAAACGTACAAGTTTTACTGGAGGCTGCCAGTTACATTGAGAGCGCCGAGAGGAAGGATGGAAGTAAGTGAAATTATAGTGCACTTGTGAGGGATTGTTCTGACTCATTTGCGTAATGCAGAGAAACTGTTTCATTGTCAATAGACTCAGACAACAAAGGATTGAGTTCAACGAACAATCAGCCAAGTAGACAAGGAGCATGTGCAATGTGCCTCAATTTGAGATTCACAGCCTCAATGCTTTTAAATGAAGAAGTTTATTATAGCTAAATTGAATTTATTTAATATTTTATATATTTTTATTTAATATAGATAGCCGCACACAATCATCCAGTGCATACTCTTTGGATTTATTTCAGATCTGTTTTATAACTGCAAAAAACTGATTTAATGTCAAATCTGCGTGGCTGTTTTGCACTTCGTGTGTCAAAAACAGATGAATAATTCCCTCTGCAGCGCACTTAACGTCCCAATTCGCAGGCGGACTGTCCCAAGCTGGCATGTACTGTCGTATGGGGCATTTCAGAGTCTGGCATTGTTCGCCAGTGGAGCATGCCAGCTCGTTTGCCACCTCTTTCTCTCGAGGAACATAAACAAGAAAATAAATAATTAAATAAGCAACATTGGGCTATATGCACGCATTACTTCCGCGTTTTGTCTAAGGCCGCGGTCCAGCTTCCGGTCTGGGTGATTTTAAGCGGAGGTAAACAGTATTATGGCAGAGTCGTCAATATTTACTCGCTGTTTGCGAGTAAATTATGGTCAACGATGTGCAAATGATTGTCCGGATGTACTCTACAACACCGCAGAGCAAAGCTTGAGAAAGGTTTCAAGTTTTATGCATCTTCCTACCTGTGCAATTATGAAGGTAAGTTCAGCTAGCCTGAAGGCTAACTTTAGCGTTAATACTCTTACGATCCGTCCATCGGAAGCTTTATCACGTAAGTAAAAATAATCATATGTGTACGTAATTCTGTCTCATAGTGTCAGGTAAAAACAGGGCAGGAATAAGGTCTCAGTGAGAGCTCATTACTACCGATAGATCTATGAAGAAATCGGAGTCTCCTCACTAGCTGAGAGTAGGACAGCATACATGTGAAATTCTGTCCCATTCATACTTTTACTGTTCTAAAGTGACCACCACTGTTCAGTTCGGATAGTTACAGAAACACAGATGCTGTCTTAGCTTGTAAGCATGATTAATGAGCAAGATATATTAGGAATGAAATAATACAATGCCGTTCCATCCACAACAGACAAATAGCGCTGTGATTTATTGAACTGATTTATTGCTGAAACAGTGGAGATGACAGATGCAGTGTAACAGTGTAGATAGCATGCTTTCTATTTAGCCTATAACATTGTAATTAAATGGGAGGGTGACCCAAAACAATAAGGTGTCATTAGTTAATTTCACATCAACAATTTGTCTATTGCAATATTTATTAGTTTTTTATGTTAATGAACAAATGCTGATTCATTGTGCTTGTTAACTCACAATGTAATAGCTAATGTTAACAAGCATGACTTTGGATTTTTATTCATTAGTAAATTAGTTTAACAATGCTAACTATTAAATATTAAATAGTTATTTTAATAGTGAGCAAATACATTAACTAATGAAACCTTATTTTAAAGTGTGACTAAAGGGAGCTACTTTTAAATAATTTAAATTAATGATTTACTGTGTAGTTTAATCTGATGATATTGCTGCAGATGCCTTTCAAAAGAAGATATTTTGAAGAAAGCTGAAAACCTGTAACCATTGACTTCCATAGTAGGAAAAAGAACTACTATGAATATCAGTTGTTGCAAGTTTCCAGCTTTCTTCAAAGTATTTTTGTTTGTGTTAAACATCAGAAACAAACTCATACAGGTTTGGAACAAGTGAAGGATGAGGAAATAGAATTTTCAGTTTTGAGTGAAGTGCCTTTAATGACTCTCTTTAAAAACCTATTAATATTCTTGTTTCTGTTTTCTAGGTAACATTATGAGATTCAGAGCTAGAAAATTTTATGTGTTACTTAATCCTGGAGCGGACATCCGTCAGAAGATCCATGCCATCGTCTGCTAGTTAATAGCTCCTGCTCTTGTGTGGCTGAGAGTGGGATATGCAAACATTTGGTTGCTTTGCTTTTCGAGACAGCCCATTACTCTGAAATGTGTAATGTGTGTTGTCACGTGAACAATTGTTTGGAATGGATCAATTATGTGTTAAGTTCCATGAAACAGAGGGGTGATTTATTTATTTATTTATTTAATACGTATAAGCCCAAATACCTCTCTAAGCACAAGTTACAGAAGAAGCACCTGATTCAAGAAAACAACTGATTCAATGTTATTGTTTCTGTTCATCTGAATAAAATATTTTTTTCAAAATGTTACATTTTTTTGACAATTTTTATTTCAAATTATATACAGTGAATTATATTTTATATGTACAGTGAATAAAATAAAGGTCTTTATTCTGAATTAAATATTGCACTTAGAAAGTAGCTTAAGAAATGTTTATGTATATTAATGTTCAGTTTTTTTAACTTCAAAGGCAATGAAAACTATTATTTGCCATAAAAGCTCCTTTCTTTAAATGTCTGCATCCGGTTGGCACTCGAGCCTCGATCAGTTTGCTAGACTGAAATTGTCAGCTACACTCTTGTTTTTTTCTGTTTCTGTAAAATTCTCACGTTTAATATCAACAACCCACCTCTTCTGCACGACTTTGTCTTTTGGAAACATGTGGAAACTAAGGTAAGAGTTCAATTTTTGACGCTGTGCATTGCTGAACACAGCAGTGGTATCTACAAGTACTGTTCTCAAGTCTTTGAAATGACACTTTTAAACGTTTAGATGTCATATTTATGTAGCTGACATAGACATATATAAGTGGGCTATAATGGCATAAAACATTAAGACAACTGTCCAAAACATTACTCGTTTTTATCAGCAGCGCTCCTGTTGTAGCACTGTACTGTACGATCGGCGGAAGTAGGCTCGGGGTCTTAAATTTTACCGGAAATGCGTCACGCGCCGCCGTGCATAGAGCCCCATTTGCTGGCACAACACACAGGATGACGTCACCTCGCAGCTTTTTCCCCTTTAACTTTTCATCACGCACCAAAACATGATGACTGAGTACAATAAAGCGCTAATGGTACTAATAAACTCATTTGTTAATATATTAAGTTGTTTTGTGTGAACATTTGTATTGGGAAATATACACGATATACATTTTGCCTCCTCTGAATATAATAAATATTAAAATGATAATACTAATAATATAAAGTGCATATTAATATAAGGGATCAGCAGATTATATTCATGTTTTTTTTTCTGTCAGATATATTCGCTGTATTATTCGCTTCGTATTTAAATAAATGCATAATCATATCGTGTGGATCTAAAAATTGTTCATGCAGACAGCATAATCTACTTCAAAAGACTTCTCCAAAATTGCCTTCCTGTTTCTTAGGGGGGTGTGTTCACATGACATCCACATGGCGCAGTTTTCACTGCTCTGATTGCTCAGTGCCTGTTGCGTTGGCGGAGGCTTACCAGGGCTCCTGTCCAATCGCAGAGCTGTTGGGCTGTGATGTCATATGTTGCTGGGCCTGGCTTAAACAGCGCTGGCAGTGAGGGGTTGTGGGAGTTGAAGTGCGTTGTAGCCAAATCTGAAAATATTATTCAAATAAAAAAAGAGCAACAATAAACTTTTATTACACACATATTACACAGATGAACAGGTGAAAATGTTACGATAGTATTGTGAAACAAACATCACTACTTTTTATACACATGTATTTATTTACAACATACTTTACATGCCAATTTGCACATAACACCTGCATATGTTATATGTAGGTTTATACCCATACATACACTATTCAATTTCTATATTTGTATTCACTTTTTACTTCTGTTTTTAAAATATATTCATTATCTGTTTTTTGTTATGACTCTGATTGTGTTGCACTGTTGTATGTGTGATGTGTACCTTTGTATTTGTGATCATACCTGGCAATCAGGGGCATAGCGGACATTTTAAAAGTGAGGGGGGCAGCTAAATGAGATTTAAAAGTTTACGTTTATCTTACTCGCCTGTTTCTAAATGGTCCGGCTCTAAAAGTATGAGGGACATATCCTCCCTGTCCCCGCGCTTGCTAGACCCCTGCTGGCAATAAAGCTCTTTCTGATTCTGATATGTTAAGTTTACAATTAAGTAAAAGACATGACATTTTTTTAAGCTCATTACAACATTGTTTTGTATAAAGTAGATTGCAGGATTATGATTGAATTAAAATACCACGTTTTATAACAATATAATAGTAATACTTATGACGGCATGTAAAATAGGCATGTTTTTGCTGGCAGGTTTTAGTCTCACTTGCTAGAGATGCCAGATATTCACTGAGTACTTTAATTAATGTGTATATAAATGTATCCAGTATTATTAATAATCAATAAACAAATATTAAGTATAATATTTAACTATATACAGAGAATTTACAGTTTTAGAGTTAAATGCATACTGGTTAAAATATATTTTATAATACATTACATAATATAACATAAATATAACAATTATATAAAGGGCTCAGCACATATAAGTACGCCTCTCACAAATCTCTCATTTAAACTCATATTTTTAATAGGAAGCTAGACAATATTATAGCCAAACATAGAGCAACTTGCCTGAACCGTCCAAAAACTAGTACAGCCAAATGTATATGTTATAGAAAAATTTAAATACATATTTAAAAAAGAGGAAAAAAATCAACTGATGCAAAAAAATATTACTATTTTGTTGAAATTTTGTAGGTTGTAATGATTTTGGCGATATTTAGCTTGAATTTAATTGTATTATGTTTCAATTTCTAAATGTTTGGTGACTAAAATATTATTTTCAAAAATATATTTGTTTAATAAATCTGTTTTGTTTAAATGCACCAAAATACATTGCCTCTATTCACTGAGAATTGGATCAAAATATTAATTTTCAAAATGGTATATACACATTTTAAAAACATGTTGGCAGTAGCCCAGTTCGAGTTAAAGGGCCTGTTGGATGAAGAACTACATTTCCCACAACCCTCCGCGCGAAGTCTCTATCCGCTCAGCTGTTAAAACAGTAGGTAAACAAACTGGGGAGGAGAAAAGAGCGCAAGCACCAGGGACTTCGCAGGCTGGGCTCTCGGGGACTCTTTTGTACCTGTTTCTATTCATTTTATACACTTTATATCCGCCTGTTTTCTTAAAGCACTTTTACTACTTTGATATTCAGACATCGGATGTTTTATTTGTGCTTCATTTCCTGTAACTAGCGTGGTAACAGTAACAGTGTAGGAAATACCTCGAGTCGACGGGTTCAGCAAATAGAAACAAAAGCACCAAAACAACTGGAATATTCAATGCTACGTTTTGTAACGCGACAGCTGTCATCGTGATCACATATCAGAGAGAGAAACATCAAATACAGCAGTAGATTTATTCAAAGGATGACTTCTGTGCTGAATATCCAGACGTTATTGGAAGCAGCCGACTATATAGAAAGGAGAGAACGAGGTACACGATGTTCAGCTCTATTCACTTGTATGACAACTGCATTACCATCCACAATTCAGCACGTTTTATTGTATTTAGAGGTGTTTAAAAGGACTTGATCCGTTTCTAATATGTGATCGGAGCTGTGACAGGTTTCTCCGCTGTGTTTTTCAGAGTGTGAACACGGATATGCCTCGACCTTTCCGTCTATTCAGCACTCCAGCTACCAGAGACAAAGGAAATTCCGAAATAAAAAGTGCAACAACAACCACTACAGGTAAGCACGTGATTTGACTCTTCACTTCCATAAGAGGAAGAAAAAAAGTGCTGGAGAAAATCCAGAGAAAGAGAGACGTGTGACAAGAGCAGACTGCTATGACATCTGTCGGGACTTGAATTATTGCTGCTGCATTTTCTGTTTGTTTACGTTTTAGCTTTGTTATGATATATAAACTTTACTTATGTATATATTTATATATGTGCCTGTCGTACATGTGCTGTTAAATAGACGCCGCAGCATGCAAATGAAGCTGTTTTATTTAGTTTGTTTTGTTCTGGGGGAGGGGAGCTCTCATCAGCTGATTGTCAAACGGGACTGCTGCAGCGCTGAGGTTAGGGACCGTGCGAAAACTCACGTCCTGTTTTCGCAGTCGGGCGCCATTGGCTTTCGGTTTTGTTTGAACCGAAAGTCTGCAGTGACGGTGTTTTCGCTTTATTTTGGCCACTCTAGAGGTTTTATACATCCGCAAAAAAACTCAGTGGGATATATTTAATGTGCTTTCGTTTTAATGACTTGCAGAGTATTTGGATTTTTATCCAGAGCCCTTGAACACACGGCTCTTATTTACAGCAACTGTTGTTTTCAGGCTGCCAAGGTGAACAGCCTGAGGCGAATTTATTAAATTATCTTTACACGGTATTCTTCCTTTAATGCATGTTTTGCTGAATTATCATTGACCCAAGGTCGACTAAAAGTCGATTTAATGAAAGAAACAAATCGAAAATGCAGTAATAAGCATTTTAATGTGCATATTAAAATAATAGTTGTTTTGTGAATCAGGAAAATGGTGCACGCTGCTATGACGCTAACTAATGTTGTCTCGGTAGACAGTTACTAGCATTTGAGCTGTCTACCTATTCCAGGTTTTTATCTAGGCAGACAGTTTGCAATATTTATGACTAACAAGCAATCTTAGGTAGGCTGTGTTTTCTCATACTGAAAATTCTGAGGTAAAGTGTTTCTAGGCTTTGAAATGCACATTATTGCTTTATATACGAATTTTAGAAGCCCAAAATGCGTTTTTAGATTTGTTTTAAAATGCGACCTATAGGGTATATGTTTTGAGATGATCACAAATCCTAGAGCAATTCCAGCATTATAAATATGACTTTGCCGTAAAATCTCAAAACCTAAATTAGATATAGAAAGTATGTTTACATTATAATAACATATTTATATTTTCCAAAACAACTCACCATAGAGTTATGGGAGCCGAAAAATATGAATCTGTAAACATTTTTTAGATTTTAAATGAGGGATATAAACATGTGTAGGGATGAAACTGAAAAATTATGCGAGTATTCCGTATACAATATACTTTGTAGAAAGTCTGTAAATTAAACTGCACAATCCAAAATAAATAATGCTAATCAAAAGGATAAAATTTGTCTAACTGTAAGAGCAAAAATGATTGACTTTATTCGACATTTTCGCATTTATAAGGAAAAAGTTCGTTATGGATGTAATAGATGTGAAATTGGCACTTGGTAAATCGAAATTGGCACTTGGTAAATCAAAAATAATTGTTTAAAAACATTTTTTAAAAACATTGTTTAAAGAGACATT